CCGGTCCATCAAGCCAAGTCTTGTCTTGATCTTCTCCACCTTGATCACATGACTCAATGTCATGTCTCATGTGCAATAAGCTCCTTCATCATCACATGTGTGAGCTTTGCAACATCTCCAAGCCATTTTCACCTCCATGGCATATGTTGCTCATACACATGTACCTGTGGACTAATCACCTGTGTATCTCACATAAACACAATTAGTCCACCTAGGTTGTCACTCAATTACCAAAACCAACAAGGACCTTTCAGAGGGGCAGCGGTGCTGCGGCCGTCCTGGAAGGGAAGCGGTGCGGGGCAACGTGGCCTAGGCGCGCGCTCGCGGAGAGGAAACGGGAGGGGGCACCGAGAAGCAACTGGCCCAGCACGAGTTGCTCAATAAGGCAACAGAACAAGGAGAAGGGAGGCGGGGAGATGGAGCAATAGGACGCAATAGCGGCAGCGGCCTCGGCAGGCGTTGCGGGGCAGCGGGCACCGGAGATGGAACGGTGCGGCCACACGCCCCAGGCACGCTCACGAGGGGACCAGACATGGACAGCGACGGACGGCGTGAGGCGCGGTGCGGCGGCGCGTAACCACGGTGACTGCACGGCAGAGAGAAGGGAGTGGATGGGGGCAAGGAAGAGCAGACACGCGAGGAAGAGCTAGGCGTCGTGCGCGGCTCGTCACCAGCTTGATAGGCGCGACGAGGGAGGGGGCAGGGCAGCACGGCACCACGCGGCCAACAGTGGTGTGCCAGCGCGCGCACAGGAAGGTGAGAGGACGGCACAGAGAAAAAGGGCGAGGAGACCTGAGCGAACTCGTCCGAGCACGTGGTCCGGTCGACAAGTTAGAAAGGACTTGGCGATGCAGCCACGATGCTCGGCTTCACGGGCAACAACAGAGAAACTTGATTTGCAAGTGAGCAGCGGAGCTGGACGGCTTGGCGTAGCAGAGGCGACAAGGACAAGCAGAGACAGGCAACAGCTCAGCCTTGGCGTGCAGAAGAAGGAGCACATGGAGAGGGAGCAGCGAGGCATGGACACAGAAGAGCCACGTGCTCCCATTAAAATTTCGGACACGACGCGCGAGGGAGAGAAGACAGGGGCACATGCAAACAGACGCGCTGGGGTGCAGAGCCACGACGGAAGACGAGGCGATGCATAATTGCGAAGCAAGGCGAGTACGCTGAAGCCGCGCCAGGAAAGTAAACGAAGTTGCTACGCTCTCTCTCTCTTGTCAGTTCATGCTTATCAAAATAGACCCATGAGCATGGGCGGATCCAACAGTGGGGGGGGGGGCTCAAGCCCCCCCTACCCATACCGAATCAGTGCAAATTACTGTAGAGCCCCTATGAATTTTTAGGCAAAGTTCTATAGTGTAGGGGGGTTAAGACTTAAGATCAAGCAGCAGTGTTGTTAAGCCCCCCCTAAAATATTTCCTGGATCCGCCGCTGCCCATGAGTATATATATATATATAAGTTACTTTTCATGCTTAAACTAACAGAACAAACCGTTCGTCAGAATCGTCGTTCGTCATTCCTAAATATCTTTACGCACCGAGCAATTTAACTTGGGCGTTTATTTGAGTCCACAAAACTAAGTCACACGGGATTCGCTTATCGCCTCAAGTATGTTTTAAATAAAAAATCCGAGAAACTCATTTCGAAAATTTGACTTAAACCTAAATCGCGGTACTAAACGAGATCGTAACACCAGAGGTGTTACAAGGAATTCCCCACATGTAATTCTAGTAACATTGTTATCCTGTAATCATATTATGACTCTTATATTTTAACCGACTATGAGACTTGTCTCCTGAGATATATAAAGGAGAGCAAGGCTTCCTAGATCGGCAGGCCATGACACACAATCATACCAATCAATCCAGTGCAAAGGCTACACGCTGACTGGACATAAAGGCTATTACTCGACAAGAGGGTCCGAATCAGTATAAATCGTTCGTCTCTTTGCGTTTATTGTCGAGTTCTGCGTACGCTGAAGCCCTTCGAACACCGTCCCGGGTACCCCGTGACGGGTTGCCGGTCATCAAACACCGACAACTACCGTACACCGACACGCGTAGGCAGTTGTCGGTGTTTGATGACCGACAACCCGTCACGGGGGTATCGGAACGATGTTTGAAGGGCTTCGGCGTACGCAGAACTCGATAGTAAACGCAAAGAGACAAACGTATACTGGTTCGGACCCTCTTGTCGAGTAATGGCTTTTACGTCCAGTCGGCATGTAGCCTTTGCGTTGGATTGATTGGTATGATTGTGTGCCATGGCCTGTCGATTTTAGGGAGCCTTGGCCTCCTTTATATATCCCAGGAGGCAAGTCTCCTAGTCGGTTACAATGGGCCTGTTCGCTTGTCTGAATTCTGAAAGAATCTGGATGGTTTGGAGGAATGCTGGAGGAATTTGTGAGAGAAAAACACTGTTCCGGATGAAAAAATAAGCGGATCAAGCCAGATTCAAGGGCACGCGAACGGGGCCAATGTAAGTCTTATTAGAATTACATGATAGCAATGTTATTAGAATTACATGTGGGAAATTCCTAGTCGGACTAGATCTTCTCCCTTACTTACAAGGTACTCGGGAACTACGTCCCACAACAGCTGCATCTAAAAATCATCAATTAACAGAGACGGTCATGTTAAGAAATCCACCTCTAAAAATCGACGATCGCCTTCGTTAATCGATGATTTTCAGAGATGGTCATATTAGCACGCATGTCTCCATAAATGATTTTAGAGATGGGCACTTTCTTGGAGGCCCTCTAGCCATTTATGCAGACGGTCATTAGGTGTCCACCTAATCAGAGAGCCTATTTTCTAAAATTATTTTTAGTTTTGTTTGGGCCCATTTTAGATGAAGGATGACATAGGAAAAAAAACACATGTTAATTACTGAGTCCACACAAGTCAGCATTTTATGTGTCTTTGTTTAATGGAATCCACTTGGATTCTCCTGTTCTAATTCTTGTGTTCCAAACAATTATTCATATATTTTCTTTATTTATGTTTTCCTTTTTCTCTATTTTGCCAACAATACATCCATACCTATTACTGTGTATTTCTCCATATCAAAACACGCCCTGAGCTACGAGGAAGATGAAATGTGCGGGTTTCTCCTTCCTGTCACGCTGCTAAAAATAGTACTCCTGGGTCCCTGGCTGCTTTACTTTGGACCTGTTCGCTTGTCTGAATTTTGGAGGAATCTGAATGGTTTGGAGGAATGCTAGAAAAATTTATGAGAGAAAAATATTGTTTCGGATGAAAAAAATAAACGGATAAAGCCGGATTTAAGGGCACGTAAACGGGCCCTTTCTTGCTCTCGCTTGCATTTGCACGTCAGCTATATCACGCTCGTGTCAGAAGTCAGATCACTATTGCGTAGATCCCTCTCAACTGTTTGTCCAGATGATAGTGGAGTACATATTCTTCGAGAATAATATACTATAACAGTAAATTATAAATTATAATAACAAGTTATAACGCGAGAAAAAGAACCGTGGCTCAAAAATATTTTGTACGGTAAATCATGTTTTCCTTTTATACACCAACAGAAGAATTAACAAAGTACGCTCGTGAATAACGTGAACACATTTCACCATCGACTACAAATTACACCCGAAAAGGAAATTCAACCCATTACTTTTCAACCGGACTAGAAGTCTAGTTCCTTACTTCTATTCCAAATTTGACTTCACACACGCATAAAAGTACAACGATAATTGGAAGCACTCGTGGATATGATTAGGCCCCGTGTAGATCAAAAAATTTTAGATTTTGGCTACTGTAACACTTTCGTTTGTATTTGGTAATTAGTGTCTAATTATAGACTAATTAAGTTTAAAAGTTTCGTCTCGCGATTTCTCATCCAACTGTGCAATTAGTTTTTTTTCGTCTACATTTAGTACTCCATGCATGTGCCGTAAGATTCGATGTGACGGATACTGTGCAAAATTTTTTGGAATCTAAGGCCCCGTTCACGCGGCGGCAGCTGGATCGGCTGGTGCTAGATATGATGAAAGTGTCTCACGGGGTTACTGTAGCACTTTCAACCAGTTTTAGTCGGAACAGTGTTTCTCTCACACACAACCAGCAGCTACAGTATTTTGACTTCTTTTTTTAGACAAGCGAACGGACCTAGACAGGGCCTTATTCGTCTCTCCAATCCATTGTTTCAGCGAAACAACGATGGGTGTGAATTCAGAGCTACACCCGTTCCATTAGTTCCATCGCCCAGCGTTTGTCTCGATATCTGGTCATCGCCCAGCGTTTGTCGATCGCGTAATGAATCTAGACGACGACGGAGGAAGAGAGAGAGACGTAGGGGAGGAGGCTAGCTCTCGGCGACGATGCGGTCACCATGGATGTAATAACTACACTATTTATTACTAGGGCCTTATTTAGATTGTGGATAGAAATCAGTATTTGGTATTGTAGCACTTTCGTTTATATTTGATAATTATTGTCCAATCATAGCCTAATTAGACTCAAAAGATTTGTCTCGTAATTTATAATCAAACTGTGTAATTAGTTATTTTTTATCTATATTTAATATTCTATACATGTATTCAAAGATTGGATATGACGGCGAAAGAGTGAAAAAAACTTATAATCTAAACGAGGCCTAGTATATACTGGTATCATTGGTCATTGCTGTACCCGTACACCGACACCTCTGCTCTCGCCTCTCGGATTGGTTGGTTCATTGAACCTGGACGCCTTCATGTCGTCATTCACTGGTCACCGCTTTGCCGTTCCGGCCTATATAAGGAGAGGCCCAAAGTTAAGTTTAAGCCAACCCAAGCCAGGTGAAAACTTTGAAGAGTACAAGCTTGATCCAATAATTAACGTTGGAGTACATACATCGATCCGGTTTGCTAGTTAATTTTTAGGTTGATAAGCCCAATCGGTGTTGGTTTGGTGTGAGAAAAAAACACTGTTGTATGGGTGAAACAAATAAGCCTGACTGTATTAGCAGCAGCATCGCGTAGCTAGGCGTAGCCATGATGACAAGAAAAGTGGGCGCGGCAGGAGCCGGCGGGGAGGCGGAGGAGATGAAGCGGAGGAACGCCGAGCTGGAGAGGGCGGTTGCGGAGGCGGCGGCGAGGGAGGAGCGGCTGCGGCGGGAGCTGGAGGCGGCCCTGGCGCGGTTGGCCGTGGCCGAGGAGGCCGAGGAGCGCCTGTGCGTGCAGCTCGGCGAGCTGGAGGCCGAGGCCGTGACGGAGGCCATCGAGTACCAGGAGCGTGTCAGGGCGCTGTCCGAGCGCCTCGCCTTCGTCGACGGCGTGCTCAGGTCGTCCGGGATCCGGGGCTTCGCTGCCGCCGGCGTAACGACCTCGAGGATGGATTGATCGATCGATCGAGCTGTACGATCGGTGTGTGTACGTCATCACCGGCAAAACTGGCTGCTCCTGAACGATCAAGGCGGGTATTATTACCCTATATAAAGGAACGTGTATAGCTGTACATTTTGTTATTTTTATCCTCCTCCTCCACGTTGATTCGTGTGTGACGTGTGTATATTGTCTGGAGTTGATTCGTGTGTGACGTGTGTATGTTGTCTGGAGTATATTATTAGCTTGAGAGATGAGAGATGTAGACAAGGTTGTAAAGAAATCAGTGGCTACTGATCTGCGGGCTTTCTAGGAGTAGTTCGCTGGTTTCATTTTAATTTATAAGATCGGATCGGTCTCTGCCCTCTGCTTCTATTTTTTTATATAAGAAAAAAAAATCCTTCAATTGATCTAATTTACTTGCTTTTTGATGGCCGGCAACTCAGCGTGCAATTAGAAAAGGGGTCTAACTAGTTGGATTGGATAGCCAAAAATCACCAAACATCAGTAAGATGGCTTCGATGATCGGCAAAAACTTCTATGTAAATGTAAGGTTGAAAGAATACAAGATCTCAACGTTGATCCAGCAGTTCATATACATAGAACCCGCACAAGTAGTTCATAGTTGTATAATTTACTCCATAATGTTACATTCATAAATAGCCTATAGGGAGCTTGCATCGCATATAAGAACCATGCCGATGCTACACAGCTACGATGGGAGCCTCACTGACAAGAGATAGTGTTTGGTTGTCCGCGTAAAGTCATACCGTGTATAAAATAAAAGTAGATAAACAAGTAATATTATAATATTTTACTTGTGTAACTACACCCTAATAGTTCCTTCTTTACTTCTAATATCTTAGTCATAGGTTAATAACATCATTAAGAAAATCTGCGCTGCACCATCTGAACTAAGCTCTCGCCAGAATGAAATCCGTATCTAGCGAGCTGCTTTTTGCATGTGGTGAGTCATGTTCAGACTCCAGTGTTCATAACCAAACGCACTAAAGTTGTCTCCATAGCCTAGTTCTTGTATATGGCCCTGTTCGCTTTATTAAAAAATCATGGTTGAAAGTATTGTTTGCTGATTTGTTATGAGAGAAAAATATTGTTTGTTCGCTGAAATAGTATGACTCATAAGGGCTTATAAGCCGTACTTTTTCAGCCAATGAACAATATTTTTCTCTCATAACAAATCAGTCAACAGTACTTTCAGCCATGGCTTATCAGCCAAGCGAACAGGGCATATATAGTCAATAAAATAAGCTAACAGTAGCCCATAATAAGGGGACAAAGAGGGAGGGGTAAGAAAAATAATAGTTTTTATTCTCTATGGGTAATCCATAAAGTGTCTTGGATATTTAGAGTCCCTTGAGCGAGTTACTAAATAAGGACCTAAACATGAGTGTTAAAATAAAATAATAACAATATAACCTAGTTTCTAATGATCAGACTTCTCAGGCAAGACAAAACGATACATATTAGACTAGTTTGGACCTTTTAGATTGCATAAATACATAATATAAAGCCTAATATATAATATATACTTAGTGTATCTATATTACATGGAGGACGGATTTGGGGGCCTCGAGCAGTCGTACAATCATCCAAAAATACTTCTGTCATAAGTTTATGAGTGTCTTTTATTATAGACTGCTCTATTAGTCTCATAGTATTTCAGGTAGCTAATGCTCAGGGTGAGATAAACGGAATAGCTAGACCAAGCTAACAAATAAACGGTAAAACTATACCGTACTTGAGTGTTTCTCGAGCGATGAGCACTCGATTTTCTATGGGTACGATTCAGAACCGATCCAGCACGGACAGCCGCCCGCGCCTGTGCACGACGCGTGCTCCGGAGTCCCACGCGCGTCGCCCCAAGGTGCATGGTCTGGTCCGCCTCTGCACCGACCAGTTGCAGGTACATGCACGGCGTGCTGTGGTGTGGTAGACCCGACCAGGGTCACCCGTTGCCATCAATCACCTCGCCAGCTGCATGAACCTATGCATGCATAACTAATTATAGCGGATTACATCTATTTGGACCATACTTTACTATTTCTGTTGGGGTGTAAATTTTGTATTCAATTGTGAAAGCTCTAGTTTGGTTTTGGTGAATTGATGAAACCCTAAGTGCTAACCTAGTTTATCAAGTGATCATGAGATAGGTAGCACACTCCAAGTGGTGAAGCAAATGAAGATCATATCATGATAAAGATGATGGCATGGTGATGATCAAGTGCTTCGACTTGGAAAGAAGAAAGAGAAAAACAAAAAGGCTCAAGGCAAATGTATAATTTATAAGAGCTATTTTGTTTTGGTGATCAAGACACTTAGAGAGTGTGATCACATTTAGGATTGATAGCCGTACTATTAAGAGGGGTGAAACTCGTATCGAAATGCGGTTATCAAAGTGCCACTAGATGCTCTAACTCATTGCATATGCATTTAGGATCAGTGGAGTGCTAAAACCCTTGAAAATGTTTGTGAAAATATGCTAACACTTGTGCACAAGGTAATACACTTGGTGGTGTTGGCACATTTACAAAGGAGGTGGTGTTTGCAGGGTTGAGATGGGTTTGGGTCCCTCTCTGGGATTCGGCGCTTTCGGGAAAATAGAATGCCTATTTTCTATTGCGCTGGATGCAAATTCTTGATGGTTGGCACATTGGAGCAAGGGTGGAGAAGATAGAAGTGAGAACAGAGTTGATGCCAGCGTCGGTCCAGTGACCGGACGCTGAATCCAGAAGCACCGGACGCTGACTGTCTGCGTCCGGTCGCGTTGACTGTCGGTACAGTGGCTAGGGTTTACCACCGGACGCTGGGTTGTGTCCGGTCGAGGTGGACCGGACGCGTCCGGTCGAGGAAAACCAGGTTTTGACCCTTACTGCACTCGACCGGACGCTGAGGTTCCAGCGTCCGGTCAGTTTTAACCGGAGCGTCCGGTCAGCGTCATAGCCGTTGGAATATGACGAACAGCGTTTGAAGCCGATGACACGTGGCGTCCATCTGTGGACCGGACGCTGAGTCCAGGGTCCGGTCAAGTGGACCGGAGCGTCCGGTCAGAGCGCAGAGTACCCAGTGAAGGGGTACAACGGCTCTATTTCGTGGGGGCTTCTATTTAAGCCCCATGGCCGGCTATGGCTCACATCTTTGGCCATTTCTATTGACATAGCATACTTGTGAGCTTAGCCAAAGCCCTCCCACTCATCTAGATCATTGATTCATCATCATAGTGAGATTGGGAGTGAATCCAAGTGCATTGCTTGAGTGATTGCATCTAGAGGCACTTGATGATTGTGTTTCGCTGCGGATTTCGCTTGTTACTCTTGGTGGTTGCTGCCACCTAGACGGCTTGGAGCAGCAATGATCGTTGAGTGGAGGAGGTGATTGTCTCCGACTCCGATCGTGGTGATTGTGAGGGGTTCTTAACCTTTCTCCGGCGGAGCGCCAAAAGGTACTCTAGTAAATTGCTTGTGGCTTGTGTGATCCTCATCTTGTGTTGGTTGTGCGGCACCCTATTGAGGGTTTGGCGAGTGATGCCAATCAGCGCGTGAACCTCCAAGTGAGTGAATCGCCACAACGAGGACTAGCTTGCCGGTAAGCAAGTGAACCTCGGTAAAAATCATTGTGTTCATCATTTGATTCCGAGGCGATTGGTCTACATTGGTATTCATTATTGTGATTGATTGGTTCCTACCACTACACGGCGGTATAACTCTCTTGCTCACTCTTACATTACCGCAAACTAGTTATCAAGCTTTTTAGTGTAGCTAGTTGTGAGAGCTTGTTTGTTTGATTAGTGTTGCTCTTTAGTTAGTCTTTGAGAGCACACTAATTTAGCTAAGTGTCATAGCTATTGTGTGGACATACACTATTCGAAATAGAATTGTGGTAGATGGCTTGTATTTTAGTAGGCTAGCGCAACACTCGCTTCGTCGTAAAATTGTCTAACACATTTTGTTAAGTGTTGTTGTAGAATTTTATTAGGCTATTCACCCTCCTCTTGCCATTAGGACCTTTCAAATTGGTGTAAATTAATTATTCATAAATGAGAATGGTAAGAATTACTTGAACAGTTATCTAATCATTTTTTGGCCTTTTTTTATTTTTTGTATGTTTTAATTGGTTTTCCTTTAAATTTTTTATTTTGGTTTCCATAGAAATAATCTGGCTATTTTCTTTGTTTGTTTAATATTTTTATATTATTTGGATAATTATTTTGATCCATTTAATCTAGATGCAATGATGATGAGAATCGAGTGTTGGATGGATTAAAAACACTTGATTTTTTGTTCCGCTGTCAATCGGTGTTTTATGTGCCACCAGCACTCGGATGTCACACGCACCTAGATCACCCGAGCGGTGGGTAGACATTCCCAACAATAAAACTTAATGTGTGGACCAAACTACAAATCAGCTGACCTCAATTGTCACGACCCAATCAGTGTTCTTCTACACGGAACTATGTCCAGAACCCACCTTCTCCGATGCCTTGTTTAGATTGAGGTTAGAAATCAGTATTTGGTACTGTAGCATTTTCATTTGTATTTGATAATTATTGTTTAATTATAGGCTAATTAGACTCAAAAGATTCGTCTCGTAATTTACAATCAAACTATGTAATTAGTTATTTTTTTATCTACATTTAATACTTCATACATGTGTCCAAAGATTTGATATGATGGAGGGAGAGTGAAAAAAACTTAGCAATCTAAACAAGTCCCGAGAAAGCCAGAGCGCGACTTAACAGAGCCAGCAAGGACGATGCCAGCTCTTTCGAGAGAGATGTCACATCTCCCGTGTCTTCTCGACCAAGCTGTTACTTGCTTCCACACTTAAACCTAAAATGGCATGGGCTTTCTTCTACTTTCATCGAAGCTGGTAGATAAGGCAGCTGAAATTGAGGATGATCTTGACACAAAGGCCCTGTTCGCTTATCTGAACTTTAGCTAAAACTGGCTGAAAAACACTGTTCCGGCTGAATTGTTAGGAAAGAAAAACACTGTTCCGGCTGAAAAAAATAAACCGAACAAGCTAAATTTAAGACAAGCGAACGAGGCCAAAACCAACTGGATATACCATTTTTTCACTTTTAATACATACTAGGCCAAATGCAAAACTGTGAGTGCACATCCCACGTCCCACTGTAACATTATTCATTAGGGTCTGGATGTCATAGTTTTTAAAAATTATACAGCCTGTTCGAGAGGCCGTAAACGATCGTGGATTATTTACTGCTGGCTGGTTTGATGTGAGAGAAAAATATTATTTCTAGCTGAAAATTTACAATCATTTACGAGCAAACGAACAAGTTGATAGTATCACAAAACTATGGTTTTATAAGTCAAAGAGACATAAAAATATGGTTTAGAAAAAAAAAAGTCGTGAGTGGAGATTCTAATAAAACTATAAAAAGACTATAATTTTGGTAAAATCATAGTTCTAGAGACAAAAAAATTTGTTGTATCCAAACACTCAACAGCTTTTGAAAACCAAAGTATTTTCTAAAACTATATTTCTCCAATACTTCAAAAATACTTTGCATCCAAACAAAGCCATCCTTTTTTAAAAAAAGAAAAAAAACAGACCACTTGTAACCATCATTGTTTGTGAAATTGCAAATCACGTATACATCAATCAGTTATCCGGAAACGATTTGGCAATAAATATCCAACACAAGTAAAGGACAACGGAACGATTGGACCATACGAGACGAAGGTGACGTACATGGCTGGATTAGAGGAGAGCGAGACCAAGTCACCGGCGATGGAAACCCTACAACCCACAACACACGCGACATCAGCTCCGTTCGCTTGTCTTATGAACCGTACTATTTCAGCGAATGAACAATGTTTCTCTTTTACAACAAATCAGCAAACAGTACTTTCAGTCATGCCTTTTCAGCAAAGCGAACAGAGCCATCGCTTGAAACGCGACTTCACCTCTCATGTTTAAATAAATTTTGATGGAAAACGACTGCACCAGCTGCTACATCAGCATCAGCACAACATAATGGTGGAATATGACATTGTCACCCGCCTGCGCGTGTTGATCAGACTGACCTGGACCCGGAGCAAGGCGGGCTGAGGCTCAGTATTGAGCCCACCGAACATACAGACGGCTTGGCCAAGCCAGATATACGAGGACATAAGGTATGTATTTATGTATGTATGGAGTTATATGCATATATTATGTTCTGTTATAACATATATCAAATTTAATACTTGCTTCAAAACATAAGTAAACGTGTACTCTCTCTACTCAACAATATTAACTCTTTGAGGTTACACTCTTTTCATTAATACAGAAACAAATGGTTAGTTTTTCCACACAATAGCACTGGTTCAAGTTAAACAAATTCAGAGGGAGGGAGGGATAAGCGGAATCAGTCCCACCTGTGCAGTCAACCGGAGGGGATCAAAAGCAGAGGAGCCTCTCCTGGGATAAGGAGTGCATGTGTGTAATGCCTACGAATCAAATCATGTCGGACCCGGAACAACTAGAGATGTCAATAGCCCTCCTATCTCCTATTCTCAATGAGAAATTTGTCCTATTCTCTATTACTAGAGATGTCAATGGCCAATTCTTCCCCTACAGGAATTTAGCCCTCGTTTAGTTCGCGAAATTTAGATTTTGGGCTACTGTAGCACCTTCGTTTTTATTTGGCAAATAGTGTTCAAACATGGACTAATTAGGCTCAAAACGTTCGTCTCGCAATTTCCCACCAAACTGTGCAATTAGTTTTTCTTTTCGTCTACATTTAATGCTCCATACACAGGCCGCAAACATTCGATGTGACAGATACTGTAGCAACTTTTTAGAAATTAGGGTGGAACTAAACAAGGCGTTAATAGGAGAAAGGTCATCCCTAACGAGGGCAGGGATTGTTCTCTATCCCCTGTCCCCGCCAACAAGGAAGCACTCTACTATTTAAATTAAATTTTAAAAAAAGTTTTGAAGCAATCGAAGGAGTAACAATATGGATATGAAATAGACTAACTATTGGAGGGAAGTACTATATAAGTGTAAAGCAATAATAACCACAAAAAAGGAATTATTTTAAAAGAGTCAATCTCTAAATAAAAGGTTTAACTCCTTGATAAGTGAGGCGTGCAATTATTTTAGGCCGAAGAGATAATCTTTTAATTTTAAAACTTCAATTTTCGAATTTAAACAGCAAGTAGCATATGTTACTGGACAATAGCAATAAAATATCTAGTTCATATAAATTACTCCCATCATAGCTCATGCTAGTTCATTTTACACATAGCGATATCTTATTGGCGACAAACCGTGTTGTTTAGCCTTTTTCTTTTACATATGCATGCATGGTACTAAAGTAGCAACAAACCCCCCAAAAAAAGAGATACCAGAGTAAAATGTGATGGATGTATAAAAGGAACGATGAATCGCACCAAGCCAAAGGAGTGAGATGCCTATTGGATCAGATAATGGAGAATGGATATAGTAGACAAAAGAATGTTATAAATTGAATTAGAAAACAATACCTCGAAAAAAATATGGCATTTTATAAACGGCATCTAATAATTTAGTTGCCAACTTGACATTTAGCCCTAAAAAAATATTTTCAATGTTCAAACACTAAGCATTAAGAAGGGCAGGCCTGGTGCAGTGGTGAGAGCTGTCTCATTGAGTCACCAGGTTATGGGTTCGAAGCAGCCCCTCCGCAGATTTTGCGGGGGAAAGGCTTGTCTCGATTTATCCCTTCCCCAGACCTCACTCATGTGGGAGCCTCCGGCACTGGGTCTGCCCTTCAAACACTAAGCATTACCAGAACTTACGTTTGAACATGATAATTTTGAAAAAGAAAAGAGCAAAGAATTATGGTGCGTCAAATGTTCATCAAATGCATAGAAATTATATATATATATATATATATATATATATATATATATATATATATATATATATATATATATATATATATATGATGGTTGTATTAGAAAGCCCAGTAACCACTTTCTTGGCACTCAGCATAGATATGATTTCACTTGTTGGATTGCCAGGAAAGAGGAAAGCTCCTGTCTCTGTGCTCTAGGAAAATCAAAATTGGTCGGTACATCTTGAAGAGCACTTCTGCATTTACATAAACTAAAAAAGATAAAGGCTCCAGGCCTCCGGCTCTTTGATATGTTCTATAGAGTAATAAAGGATTCAGCGGATCCAATTCTTTGTGGGGTCTAGGAGGTCGAAAGCATAACACAGCAAATCTGAGGACCCACCATGACCAAAACCATGTGGTGTAGGGTTAGCCACATGCACCTCACCAGTAAAGCACCAAGGGTCACAGTCAAGGGAATATCCTAGCATTAGGAAAAGAATATTCTCCTATAAAATTATTGCCACAACTAAACAAAATTTTGACATATGGTTTTCCCTAAGGAGGTGTGATGTGCTGTCAATCCAAAAGGAAAAAAACAATCAACTGTATTTCAGCTAGTCTTAATGGCAACCTGTTACGCACAGCAGACTCTGAACTTCTGAAGTAGGAGCAGCATGGTTTATTAGAATGAACTCTGAACTTCTGAAGTAGGAGCGGCATGGTTTATTAGTAGAATGTAAAAGCCCAAAGCGTGGTGTGCCACAACAGTGTAGCATAAGTCAATTTAGGCAAAGTAGCCATAAATCAAACTTGGAAACAAGACATCCTACTTTTCAGCCTGCTGCCTGCCTAACGACTGTTATGTGCTATGGTTCCACGACTCCATGTAACCTTGATGTAAACAAGGGTCTCAGGAGACATGGGGGAAAAAAAAGAAGGAAAACCAACGTCCAATTGTGGTCACAAACAGAGGCATTAGTGCATCAACTAAACCAGGGAAAGCAGATTAAACTATAGTGCATGCATTGCATTCAATCTTTTTCTTTCTTTGTCTGGCTCTTGTTGGGCTTCATCTCTAGTGTACCTCTACTTTCTTCAGACTGAAGGTTTTGTTTCCATCATTGTTGTTAGATTACAAATTAACTATGTGTCCCATTAAACTGTCAAATTTTATGTTCCAATGTTGACTTTCCTAAGATGGTTCCTTAACATATGCAATGCAAAATCGCAAACCCTTAGTTCTCCAAACCTTCTCTTACTTCTAGGAACTGGCAAGCTCCACCTCCACAAACCTACAGTTACTCAATTTTTTTTCTTGAAAATAAAAACTATCCAAATGTGGCAGTGTCCAATGTTACACTACATGACAGCATTTATTACCAAAACCACCCACCAAGCATCTATTCCAGTAGATCAAGGGCGTACTCAGTGCAGAGAGCTCCCGCTCTGTGCGGGGTCTGGGGAAGGGTGTTAGTGGCAAGCCTTACCCTCGCCTGTGCAATGCGAGGAGACCGCGACTCGAACCTGGGACCTTCCGGTCACAGGCGGTAAGGCTCTACCGCTTGCACCAAGCCCGCCCTTCTATTCCAGTAGATCAATAGTCCCATTTTATTTGATACCTTAACATTCATGCATTTTAAATAATAAAGACTGAACTTTTGGAAAATACAACTAGATTGTTCGGTAATAATAAAGTCACAACAGTAGGAAACTAAGGTGAAATCACATCTCAGGGACCACAAAAAAGGTCAATGTCATCTAGTAGAATAGAAAAGTGGAGTACATAGCCACATTAGTTTTGCTGATCGTAATGTTAAATTACTAATTATAGAAAATTATAAATAAGTAGGTACAGTTCCAGTATTCGTACAACACTCAAATGAAATAGAACTATCAGGAAGCTTTATATATCCGCAACCACTACATATCACCACAACTGGTGTGTAAAAGAAAACATGTTGCATGTAATCTCTTAAAACTCAAAGTAGATCATATCTATCACTTAAAAAACTAGAATGAGGTGATTATCACATATTTGCACGTCAAAAAAAAAAAAAAAACTGTAGATTGCAAGGTATATATACCCCTTGTAAGTTGTAAGCTCAAGGACAGCTGCCATGCCATCAGATGATATGCACTTGGTTATCAGAAAACCTTTATGTAAGAGGTTGTGCCTTTGTGAAAACAAATACTCCCCCACCACCAACTGAACGACCCAGGAGCATATCACGGTCAAGGTAGGAAAGATAATATAATCCTCCAGGTGATCGTCTGACATTTAATTCAGTTTGGTAAATACAAAAGACAGGGAACACGAAATGAGGAAAATTAAGCAGTGTGGAAAATTACCTTTCAGGACCACTAACAGGAACTTGAGCTCGAAAGGTTTTAAGGAACTGCAATATCTGCACAAACAGATTCACTACATTGAAATCTGAAACACTTGTCCTATGTTAGATGATAAAGATTAAAGAAATACAACAAACATGGCGAAATTGCAAATGTTATTTGTAAATATAATATTTTTCACTTTATATCTCCTTTTTGGCAGTAGACAACAAAAGTGACAACATGTGGCATGCTACAGAAACTGCTCTTGAAAGTTGAAACTAACAGAATTCAGAACAATATTATGGGACACATGAAATGTATACTGATGCACGTATTTGTCAATGACCAAGAAAGAATAAATAAGATTTTGTTAAATCAAAGGTAATATGCAAGTCAACGATCAATTATTTGATATAACCTGGCAGGCTGGCATATACCTGAAGGCTCAAAAATGACCGAGGAAGTATAGCAGGAGCTATTAGTGCCTGCAGTTGCTCGCTAATCTTGATGTTTTCAACAGCGACCTGTTATACAATGGATTATAAGTTCTAGCAACTAACACTCAAAACCAAGGTCACAAAAGAAAAGGAAGATAGACACTGTTTTTCTTGAACAAAAGAGGGCAAGATCGCTGTTGTTCAAGAAGGCTGAAGAGTTGAAACAATGCGTTTGGGTCAGAAGTCAAGTGTCAAATGTTTAAGTATTATAGTACAGAGAAAACAACAGCCACAACTAAGACCAGCCATGGCTCAAAACCCCTGAAAGGCTTAATGGCCAAAGAACTAGTGAAAAAATCAAATGATAATGCAAGAACAACGCTGGATACTCTAAAGGGTTTAGGTAAGACAGTGGATGACATAACCAAAAAAAAGGGAAGAAATTTCCAATATTGCACTTGTATGAATCATCAAGTCAAACCCAGAAAAAGAATATGGTTATATAGCATCAGATTGCATGTGAATTGAATCATGGTCATGGAGAATGCAAACTTATAATGTAGCTTAATCATTGATACAAGAGTCCCATATAACAAGCAAAAAATCATTTCTCAAACTCAATAACAACTAAACCCAAATATCTTTCCTAAACTCTAGGACTCTGATAACTGATTGACCGGCTGGTAACCGCGCACTGGCCCTTGGCCGACTCAGCCACGGTGCCTGCGCTGGTACACCTTGCCGGTCATGACATGAACGTTTCATCATGAAATTAGCAACTCTTCGCTTTGCATTTTATCAACTAATCATATTTAGCTATTCTTGAAAACAAATTACCTCCTCAAATTGAAGAAAGATATTGCGTTTAGACAGGACAACAAACTTCGCAGAGACCATCAGTGTTGCACCTTCTTCCTCCTATAGAGATTGCTAAAAGAATCAAACATGAAAGAACTGAAAACATGAGGGCTAAAAAGGCTGGAAAATAAATATGGTACATCATAGCATGCAAAGAATAGGAAGCTAAGCTTAGAAGATGCAAACTAACCACATTCTTTGCACATCATGTCAAAGTAAGAAGTTAATTTCTTCTATGTATGAAATACAGTTATGGTGTACTTTAAAACATGAAAACCAACCAGATTCTGAAAGAAAAAAAATGACCTTATCAATGAAAATATGAAACCGGTGAGCATTTTATGATCATATGAGGCAAACAGCACACCTGCAACTATCATACTCTTTATATATCCAAGGTCCATGCATTTAAGTACATCAGCAGCTGTGCTGCCAAGATAAAGAAATATGGAAGGAAAGAAATGAGAGATATGGAAGGAAAGAAATGAGAGTCTTCAGGCATCGGGAAACTGAACGCCCCCAAGAGGTACAACGGCCATAGAATGGTTACCTCCAGCAAGTTCTCGATGCTCCACCTTACAACATTCCTCACAATTCCACCATCTGATCGATTTTTGCACTCAAATTTCTGGTATATTTGCCCCACCTGCATATATCCACAAAACACCACCCTGGTCACAAGGCTCCAACCCTTCTCCCTAAATTTCTCAAATATGGTTGCTCAAACACACCAGTGATAAACAGTAAGAGGAAAATAAACTATCCACTACACAGAGAAAGCATCTTGTTGATGTATGAGAAGTTAAACTCTTAAACTTTTATTTTTGAACATGTTAAACTCTTAAACTCATCATCTCTAATGCCTCAAGTGCTCAACCTAACGAGAGACGACAAACATAACAAACGTGTATTGCACTTTTTAGCAATAATTCTCAGTATCGAACATTTAAAAACGTGGAGGTTGGCAATTTACTGACATTTGCAGCCGATCTCAAATGTGCTGGCATCTGTAATTGATTGCTAGGCAGTGGCTTTAAGTAGGCATCCAATTGCAACGACGAATTAGGACAGATCGCTGAACACACGTTGTTAGTTTAACCTGCAGGGGTGGAAGCCTCTCGGCCGCCTCGAACAGCACAAGCACGTCTGACGCCGATGTGTAACACAGCCTCCAGGTGCCATCGAGCGCCGCGAGATCTAGCGGCGTCCCCTCCCCCGCACCGCGCTCCTCCACGGCCACCTGCACATGACACGCAAAATCAATCAAACCCAGCACGGCGTCACAAACGCCGCCGCGTTGCGTGAGTGCAAATTGTTAGAGAGAGAGCGGCCGATTAGGCCTCCTCGATGGCAGCGCGTTGGTCGGGCCCCGCCGCGAATCCGCGCCGCGTTTCCTGAACCGCGCGCAGCAGTTCGTGCTTCCTCCGCTCCGTGTCCGCCTGCGAGACCAGAGCGTCAGAAGGTGTCGGGTTTTCGTAAGGAGAGGAGGAGCTTGTGGAGTACGTACGGTGGTGGACGAGGATGCGAGTGGAGCGGTGGCCGCCGCGGCGGCGGCGGCGACGAGTCTATGGCAGAGACGGGGCTCTCGCAGAGGGCGCGAGCGGAGGCGGGAGGCACAGGGCGGAGACGGCACATGCGGTGGCGTGGTCGGGAGGCGGCGGAGGGAAGAAGGGGCGGCGAGCGCCATTGCTCCGCGTTGCTCCTCCGTGCGAGTGGATTGAACTACAGTAGGATTCTAGGAAGCGTGGCGCGGGCGCGCGGCACGGGCACGGGCACAGCCGCGGGCGCCTTTGCTGAGTGCCTTCCTGACATAGTGACATCCCTCATCTACGTTCGCTTCACTGAGAGCGTGGTGTGCCGTGCGCCGTGCGGCCGGCGCGTACCTGGGCTGTCAGCCTGTCACACACCCAATTCTGAGTGCCTGCAATCCCGATGCCAGTTTCAAGAAAAATACTGTATCTTGCCATTTAGAATTACATCCTTCCGTTTCCGTATTAATACAAATAAAGCTTTTAGTGAAAATGATTGTTTCCAACGACTTCTTCAATTAGATCTTCAAATATCGTTATTCTTTATTTAAAGTTTCTTCCTAGCTAAAGATGAAGAGCGAAAATGGCTCTCGAGAGTGCGCACAACTATAAATAAATTGTTAAGGATGAAAAGATATAAAGAACATTCTTTTAAAAAAATCACTCTCCAAATGAGAACTTAGGGAGTGAGTTTAAGAAAGATTCTTAGAGATGTTCAATTATGTTATATCTAGATAAATAGTAAAAACTCTGTATAAAAAATAAAACAACTTATAATTTAAGACAGGGGGAGTACTCTATAAAAAATATCTAGTATGACATCAAGTCAAATTATTTTAATTTTGATGAAACTTAAAAAGATAATACTATTTTAATTTAATATTTATGATACTAAATAACTTAAACTAACGTTGTTTTACCTTTATTCTAAGTTCAAATGTTATGCAATATACTACCTTGTTTTTGAAAAGAATGTTATTCTAGTTTTATCTAGGTCAAAATGTTACAAGCTTGACTAAATTTTTAAAAATATATTAATACTTAGATACCAATTAGTACAATTAAATTTGTCATAAAATATAATTTCATACTATATCAATTTGGTGTCACAAACATTGATATTTTTTATAAAACTTAGTTAAATTTGTAATAGATTAACTTTTAATGAGAGTAGAATAATATTTTTTGGACTATGGAGACATTTCATGGTATATATATTTAGTCATATAAATATTAATAATCTTTTTGTAAACTTGATTAAACTTAGATAAATTGATTAAGGATACAAATATAATTGTATTTTTTAAAACAGATGTAGTAGATTGAAATAAAAGGTGGTAGAACATGAAGAATTTATCCAATGCTATAATTTGTACTCCCTCCGTCCTGAAAATATAGTGCATTCTGGTATTTAAAATTTGTTCTGAAGTATAGTGTATTCGAGGAATAAGAAGATAATATTTACTTAAATAAAAATATGTGATTATTTTGTATAAGAAAAGTAATTCATGTACTTGCCATATTTTGTATAAAGAGACTGAGAGTTCACCCTTTAATCATGCGGAATAGAATCCGATTTGAATAGATCATGAAGTTAAGTGAGGAGTACATGCGTCTATTGCACTTTCCCTTATTTTGTCTGAGAATGGTCAGAATGCATTATATTTTAGGAAAGAGGGAGTATATAAATTTATTATCGTACTTGTACATATTGAAGAATTATATTATATATAAACGCCAATGTTCAAATAGATCGTCCTCCTGGTCCCTACGGGTTGATGAATATACAGAAATCCTATTCCTATGTATCGGACCTACTCTCTGCCCTTAGAGTGTTTCAATAAAATTGCCCATTGAGAGAGTTTTCTGAGTCTCCTCTAACATTATAGTAAATCTACTCTCAATCTTGTCATAACTTCTAATCCGTGCTCCTTGATTGTCCCTAATTATCTATTTGAAGATAATTGATTTTTTATTTTTTATAGATTTAGTCAAATTTAATTGTAAATTACTTTTTAGAAGGAGAGGGTATATTTTACTAAATTCATTTTTGAAAAAAGACCTGTACGATCGTGCTGCCGACTAACCGAGTGCCGAGACAGACGCGAGTGTGCAGGTGGGGCGGAAAGCTGCACTGCTACAGGGTAGCGCCGCCACCAGCCCGCAGAGTGATCGTGAACAGCTTCTACGGCTAAAATGGACCAGGCCGATAGCCCATGGCAATTTGGGCTTTTTGGAGGTGCTACACCACAAGTCCACAACCACACCACTAAAAATCCCTTGCCAAGCCTTCTTTTCTCTGAACAACCTTCGTCTTACACGTCTGCATCTTCACCAGATCTCTCATATTACATCTCCTATAGATTATTTTAGGAGAATACCTTAAAATCAATTTAGAATGTAAGAGAGCACTATAGCAGATTACCTAAAACATGTTTCCGACTAAGAGATCTCTTGAAAATTATAGGTATAGAAGAAAATTATAGGTATAGAAGATGAGATACGAGATTTGTTGTAACACTTTCATCTCCTAAAGTACTATTTTTAAAGTATAGTTGATTGGAATGGATATCTGATGGAGATACTCTTAAAACGTACAAAAATCAACATGACAAAAGAAAGCCCTAGAGTTTCTAAAACCCTTTATACCAAATTAAAGACCATTTTCTCAGGATGCATAGCAGAAAATGGCAATTCCATTGACCAAAAACATTTTTTCTTACAGACAAACGAGGTGGGTAGTGGGTACCAACAAAACTTCATGCGAAAGAAAAGCATCTACTACTTTGGTAACAGTTGTCAAGTACTACAATCATTACAAGGTATGCAGTATGCTTGGGGTGAAGGCAAGATTGCCGGAAGGATTCTCCTTTAGTCCGAGACCTTAAAAAGATTTCTTCAAACTGCAGATGGAAGCTGATCTTGCTGCTCCTCAATCTGCCCTATCGAAAAAGTTGGTAAACTGCAGTATCTCAGTTTGATGTTATTGTGTCTGGTACTCTGGCTCGGTCCTTCTCATAAAGTGTTAGCATCAAACTTCTCTTCCAATAATTTATGTTCTGCACGACATACAGAACAAATATAATTGTCAATCAGGGGACCTAAACATCACCAGTTAAGTGGAAAAGAAATGCACATATCATCCTGGATGTAACAACCCTAAACTAGACTGTTGAGGACAATCAATCTCAAGGTGCAAAAATGCTTTATGTCGGCATACTAGAACAGAATGAGCAAAGAAGAACTACCTCTCCTCACTCAACCTATAGAGCAAGAACATCCATCTATTTTACATGAGCAAAGAGACTGCCTTGATTTATGGCTTATTATTTCCAGTAACAGAGGTTGTGGCATGACAGCAAAAGAAACTAACTTCCCGACATGCCGACATGGACCTGAAAATATCATCAATGACTTGTCAGGTTTACCTGTAATCATCAGTATGCAACATGCTCTTTTATTTTCACTTAATATGCAACAAGCTCATAATTAATCTGCCCTATCGGTAGAGTCTTACTGCCTGTGACCGGAAGGTCCCGGGTTCGAGTCGCGGTCTCCTCGCATTGCACAGGCGAGGGTAAGGCTTGCCACTGACACCCTTCCCCAGACCCCGCACAGAGCGGGAGCTCTCTGCAACAAGCTCATAATTAAATGCATACAAGAGGAAGAGGTTCATGTATCAATAACAGTTGATCCTAGTGCAAAGATGTAATATGTAATCATGTTCCGACACTGCTACATATGGCTAATCAGTTACCTGGAAAGCATGCTGCTCAGCTGCAGCTAAACAGTCCTCCACAGCAAGGAATGAGAAGAGACTCCTTGATTAGTTTCTTGCCACCCGACAATGAAAATATAATCAGCATGTTCACCTGCAAAAACAAAACAAAGCAAAGTAATTAACAAATGAACTTAAGTTAGCAATATAATTATACAAAAAGAACAAAACATTTCCCAAAAACGATTAGAACCTGGATGGTCCTGCATACAACAAATGTTAAGGGGAAAAACAAGACAAAAAAGAACATGAGGAAAACATTAAGCGTTAGAAACATATCCTGTAAAAAAGGGTTAAGCAACAGATAAAATTGAGCTATATGAGAACAAACCGTAAATGATTCAAGCTTGATTAGGAACTTGTCAAGCAAAACACTAATAACAGCTGTACAAAAACTTCAGTCAGCAAAGGCAAGTCAGTTCCCTGTGCATGGATTACAGGACCATAGAATCCTTCACATATTTACATTGACGGACAAATGTACACCGCTCAATTATATTAAATTGCATCAAAGAATCAAAATTAGAAGTAAGGAAAATTAGTTGAACATAAAGTAAAACACACAAAATAACTAAATCGGAAGTGTGAAAAAAAAGAGAAGATGCGAATGATTGTCTGAAAGTACCACTAAATCAGAATAGGCGCTCAATCAAAGTTCACGAGTTACAACAAGGTCCCATGAAACAGAATAGATACTACATAGACATTTATTCGGTGCATCTAAGGAGTCTCATATCCCTTCATATAAGTCTACAAAGAAGGAAGCTCTTATAGTTCCATCCTGTAATCGAAGGGAAAAGGGGTAGACAGAACCGAATTGGGTGGCTGGCCGAAGAAAAGGAAGTCTCATTAGCTCTAGCTCAGGTCCATGCCATCTCCAACCTGGCTTGGGATTGGAGACACAGCAGAGTAGGACCTCTCGAAGGGGGAAGGATGCAGCTGTGCACCACGCCTGCGCTTAAAGGAGCAGCCTTCATTGCTGTCCACTTCATGCTTCCTGCGGATACCCCTCACTGCTTGCTGCTCCAGTGGAGAGAGCGGAAAAAACTGCCCACTCACTCGGCAGAGCGAGTTATGGTTGTCATAGAGGATCCTCTGGTTACAGTTTTTGTCGCAGATGTGAGTGGTTCCAGTCAGTTTGCAACGGTACATGTTCCCAAAAATGTGCTCGTTCTGGCACCTCTTGTCACACTTGTGACTAGGGTTTGACCCTTCTGTGTTAAGGATTGCGGACAAGAAAATCACATTGCTGGGCTCAGCAATCACAGATTTGCCAAATACCTCCATTGCACTGCCGCAAGAAAATTCTTCACAAGCCCCTTTCAGTTTCTGAGGTCAGAACTTTCTGCAACCCAAAACAAAATTTTGCTTCAGAGTTCTGTTTGGGAGCTATTGAAATGACCGCAATGTGCTATTTCTTTATGCTACTGCTGAGCCAACTCATCTGAGTAATATGTGGAAGAAAGGTAGACCACTGTGCATTGGCAATTGTTATGATAAGAACAGATTAACCAACAGTGCGGTAATCTAGCATATATAATTACAAATAAACTATAGCACAATGATTTCGCGCCAACTTTACCCAATTGCCCACGTCATAAATCTGTAAATCTGTAAAAGTTCACTCAGGCGCCTGACACTATAATATGACGACAATCCACTGAATTTCATGCAGTTTGGCCAAATCTGTAAAAGTTCATGGTACCAAACCCGATAGAATCTCGCAGATACAAACAAAAACAAAAGGACCTTGACAAGTCAGCACGCATCCCTTTCAACCGTGTAGGTGAACCAGAAACCATCCTCACCAAAAATAAACAAACGTGGACCCAGAAACCTAACTGCCCCACTCCTCCCCTCCCTTCCACCACTGCAATTTTACTAGATCTGAACGGTAAAACCCGCCAACCGACAACCACCCCCATCATCCGCAATAAAATCAAAATAATTCCTCATATAGCGGCGTCTCGGCGTCCAAATCCAGGATAAACGCGACCGAACGATTCATACTAACAACAGCTAAAACAAAATCAAGACGGAGCATCTTCGTTGCTCGGACCCAAAATATTCGCGAGCAAAAAAGCCTCTGTCGAGTAAAAGCGATGGAACTTACCAGCAAGGTTTGGTGGAAGCCGAGGCAGGAAAGGGGTGGGAAGATACAGCAGGAGACGACGCGTAGGGCTTGACCCCCTTCTCTCTCGCCCTCTTCGCTTTCTCTCTCTAGGCCCGTGAAACACGACCCACGCAGCCAGCAGCTACGGCCGGGGAGGAGGAAGGGGGGCCTCATTTATAGGATCTGTGGCCTTGGCCAAATGACCGAAATGCCCACTGATGGGCCGAGCGGCTTGAGATGTCGACACGAAGCTCAGTCGCAAGTGCACGCGCAGTGTCCCTGGCTCTCTGCACCAGCGGCAGCTCAGATTGGCTCGGCTCACGGCTCGATCAGTGGGCCCTGCCTCCGATAGTTTATCCATGCCAGACATTATTAGACAACACCTCGTCGTTGGTGTCTCCGGAAGTTTATGAAGCCAAAGCTACAAAGCAGGTTGTTCCGTCATTTCGTGGCAATCACATGACAAATGGACTTGGTTGATGCGACCGTTGCAGGAGGGACCCGCTTGTCAGAATCAGTAGAATAGTTTAACCAACAATGATGGTAGCATGTGCACAATTATTATATTATTATTATCTTTATTTCCTATTATAAGATATTTTAGCTTTTATAGATACCTAGATTTTACTATGCGTCTAAATATAACACATTTTTAGATACATAATAAAATAAATATATTTAAAAAAATCAAAATATCTTATCATTTGAAACAGAGGTGAAAGGGACCGTGACGCCTAAAAGGGGGTGAATTAGGCAACTTAAAACTCTAACTCTAAACTATGGCCTATTTTTATCCTTAGCATAAAACATATGTAAAAGATAAACTATTTAAATGTGCAACTACGGTTTTGCTAGTGTGTTGCTATCTCTACCGCAAAAGTAGTTATGCAAACCATGTAAATGCGAAAGCTAAAGAGTAAGGTAGAGATATGCAAACTCACATCGACGATTCCGGTATTTTTACCGAGGTATCAAGAAACGCGCAAGTTTCACCTAGTCCTCGTTGGAGCCCCTCGCAGGGAATCCCTCGCAAGTGCCAAGCTCTCGGTCGGGTAACTCCGTGGATAGCTCCGGGCCTTCCCCACGCGCAAGCGGATCTCTGGTTAAGCCACTCGTGGCAAAGCCTCTCCCGTACCGCTCCCCGCCGTCTTCACTATCAAGCTTCCAGCTGAAACGTCGCGGGCCTTGTTCCCTCCGATACACGGTGGCGGCCACACCACAAACGCGGTTGGTGTGATCTCATAAAACTTTAAGCCCCTCCGATGTACAATAATGGTGCGCGCAAGCACCGAGTGGTAAGAGGTATGCAAACCTCATTAAACACTGGGCTTAAACCTAGAGCAAGCGCATAAGCGGTGGTCTAATCAACCTAAGCACTTCGTAAAGCACCTAAGCTAATCACCTAATGAATCACTAAGCACTATATAAGTGGAGATCACTAAAATGGTGTATCAACACTTTTGGTATGTTTCCTCAACTCTCCACATATCAAATATCCGGTTGGGGTCTATTTATAAGCCCCACCGAGAAAGTAGTCGTTGGGGGCGAAACCTAGCTTTCTGCTACTGACTGGACGCTGCTGTCGTCCTGACCGGACGCGTTCGATCGTCTCGACCGTTAGAGCGTGCGCGTTGATCGGACTCTAAGCCGAGTCCGGTCTCACTCGATCGGACGCGTCCGGTCGCGCTGGAACCTCTCTGGACTCGATCAGACGCTATACTTTGTGCGTCCGGTCACGCTGAAAACATTGCCGTGATGAAGAACAGTGTCATTGGTGCGTCCGGTCACTGCTTCGCTCAGCGTTCGGTCACAACTGCTGACATCTGCTGTTGCCGAGCAACTGATCGGACGCATCCGGTCCCTATAAGGGCCGCGTCCGATCACCTCTGCCGAGCTCATTTCTTTGCGACCTTGCGTCCGGCTTGGTTTCCATCTTCATGCTTGGACTATGCTTGATATCTTGGGTCTTCTCTTGTGCTTCTAGGGTCTTGCTTATGGTGTTGATCGTGGGATCATAATATCGCCTTCGTCCAAGTCACGTCTTACACCCTATTGAACTACACAACAATTACTTGCAAATTCATTAGTCTAATTTGGTTGTGTTGGTCATCAAACACCAAAATCCAAAATAAATGGGCCTAGGGTCTATTTTTCTTACAAAAGAAAGTACAGATATTGCCGAAACATGCTTACCTTTATACTTACCTCCCGCATACGTCATTATGAAGATGTATGAAAATACCAATGAGTAGTAGTAGTAGTATGTACATAATGAAGGATATACACATGTAGGGTCTGTTTGGCAGCCTCTAGCTTCTTCTGATTTTCTAGGGCTAATAGCAATTCTTCGAGATAAGTAATTTATGACTAAAAATATTCTTGTTAGTTTTTAGACTAAACTCAAACATAGAAAGTGATTATCTTTGTGTGGAGTGAATTAGAAGAAACAATATTTTTTACTCCTAACCTCCTAGTCTTAGTCATTCCATAGAATCACTTCATACAATCAGCATAGAATCACTTCTCTGGCAAATTTGTCAGAGCTTCCCCTAGATTCAACTTAGAAATTGCCCTACATCCCTTCGCTTGGCTGGTGCTCGCTTGCGCGTGCTTGTTTTTTACTAGGTCTATATTATGTCTTGAATTATATCATATTGAATGCGAGATATTTTTGTTAGGCATACCTTGAGTTCAAATCCTAGGTCCGTGTGAGACCCAGCCCATTGGGCCAGTTGGGCCGGACCGAATTTGTGAGACTACAGCTTTGGGGGTACTGTAGCATCGCGGAAAACACTGTAGCGGTGAAGTTTAGTACCATACCGGAAGTTGGAAGAGAGCAGAGCCACTTCTTGCTTGAGTTGCTCATTCTCCATTGCAATCTTTTGTGTGCATGTATCTATAACAATTTTTTCAACACAAACTTGGTTGCACAAGGGTGAGTCTAAACATAAATCATTACAAGAAGTAGAGGCATCCTTTTTAGGCATCTCAAAGATAGAACTTTTCTTTTTAAGTGCCTTGGTGAGGGTTGTACCAACGGCTTCAAGATTAGCAACTTTATTAGTTAGCTCATCACAATGTTTGCACATGGTTTTTATTTTAGCAAGCAAACTTTTATAAGCATCTTGTGAGCTAGCTAACTTTTTTTTCAATTTTTCATTTTTCTTTACGAGTTGTTCATCATTGATTGTGTAATTATTTGTGTTTACACTGTAGCGACGAAGTTTAGTACCAAACTGGAAGTTGGAGGACAGCTGAGCCAGCTTAAAAGGCTAGACCTAGGAGGCTGTTAACTCTAGATCGATCCTTTTACGCGAAGCGAGGATGAAAGTTGTGGCAGAATCGTCGAAAATAACACACTTACGGAGGCGCTCGTCTTCCACTACACACTAAGCACCACGAAAGCAAGCTACATCAGGCGGGCCCCGTCGGTCACACACCAGGGGAGAGCCCGAATAATCCATATTTTTCCCTAAGGATCCAATAATGAGAACGAGTTACAATACTTAGTCCATTTCATACATCCAGAGTTCTTAGAAATATATTATTACAGTACCAAATTTAGAGTGCGGAAATTTAACAGCGGAATGAAAAGAAACATCTATAGATAATACACAAGGATCCGTCTGTACCCACCAGAAGAATCCTTCACACAATGGCTACTCCTTAAGCAGTACCTGCAACAGGGGTAAATAAACCCTGAGTACACAATATACTCGCAAGACTTATCCGACCAGTAGGAATAATTTCTCGACTCTAAGAAATATGATAATCTTTATGGTTTGCTAGGTTTTCCTTTTGCAGAAAGTAATACTAATAGTGAGTCCTTATTTATGTTATTATTAACAGTCATAATTATTTCATTATCTAGCCATTCTATGTAAGCACCTGTTCTACTTTTAAGCAGGAGTTGAGCAAACAGTTCCATTTCACCACCTTTCATCTTTCAGTTCTTACTACGATGCTAGAGTATAGACAAGTCGTACCGACACAGCGGCGATTCACGAATCAATGTGCCCAGTTGGGTACCCTGAAACACATGCCCCGCTTATACCCTAGGCACAAGCAGGACCAACCCACCACTCTCCTGTCAAGGGTTTCAAGTTCCCGTCCAGACTTAGACTCTAAGCCCCCGCTCCTAAGTCTCGGACTCAGTGCGGTGCTTAGACCTCCA